TGATGAATCAGATGCTACAATGCAAAGCAACCACAATTTTTGCTAATTGACTAGCTATATCTGGTACATGGGAGATTTAATTCACCAGAATGATGTAAAACATCTGTACCATACTATTTAATAGTGCTGTGCAAAATTTTGCTGGCAGTTTCGTTTCAATGCTGTTTCGTCTCGTTTTGAGTTCGAAACAGCAAAATCGAAACAAAACCAAGAGCTCTGAAATAGCCTCAAAACAAAACGAGGCAAGTCAAAACGTTTTGAAATTTTGGAAACGTTTTGAGTTTTGAAGCCCAAGCTTGGCTTGCCTGCAGGGAAACAAAAACTAAAGGAGAGGGAGGGGGAAGGGGTGGAAGGAGTGCTCTCAAGGGCAGAAGGAGGACTGTAGCTGGCCAGTGACCGTGATCCTTTCCTGAGGTCCCTTCCAATCCCAGTGCTCTGGCGGAGGCATGGAAAAACTGCATAAAAGGCAGCATTGTGTGACCTTCCCTGCTTTCTGTCTTGATGTCAGTTGAGCGAGGGCACACCTTAACGCACACACACAGTGTCACCCACCCATGTCACGAGTTTTGCCTATCAGCAGCTAGAGATGCAGGGCCCCAGAACCCAGACTCCCCCTGCACCGATCTCGACAGCTGGCAGTCTTCATGACCACAGCAGGGCCTACCAGGCCTGCAGTTTTCACCCCCCTGTGCCCCAAGACAGACACAGTCCCACAAGCAACCATGTCACAAATTTTGCTTGTCAGCAGCCAGCGGTGCAAGGCCCCAGAACCCCCTACACCTCTCTCCTTGAAAGTCGTCAGGCTTCATGGCCTCAACAAGGGCTAGCAGGCCTGCAGCTTTCACCCTGCTGCACCTTAACACACAGTGTCATCCATGTCATGAGTTTTGCTCATCTGCAGCTTGAGGTGCAGTTTCCTCCAAACCCCTGCACCTATCTCCTTGAAACTTGGCAGGCTTCATGCCCTCAGAAGCAGCTAGCATCTCTGCATGTTTCATCCAAATCAGGCCAGAAATTACAAAGTTATAGGCTGTTTCGAGCTTCCCCATTATAGCCTATGGGCAAAACATCATCAAACAGCAACACTTTCGACGAAACGGAACAGCGGTTTCAAATCAAAACAAAATTCGAAACAAAACATTGTCGAAATGCAAGTCGAAATACAAGAGTGCCATTTCACACAGCCCTACTAGTTAATGTGAACCAAGAGGAAATGTTTTCATTTGCAAATCCTAAAAACTATAAAACTGTCCAGGAAACCTCTCTCTTCCAAGTATGCCTTATTTTATTAGAATGTTTAATGTATTATTGTTTCCATTGGCTTTTCTAGTTTATATTATTTGTACAGTATATATAAATTATTGTTCCTTACCAGCCAGATTGTATCCAAGTTTTGGTAGTATAAGGGGGATATGACCATGCCACTGCACCCCTTCCTGACTTCACCCCACCCCCAAAGACAGTCATGTCTGGCAAACATTTCTAGGGCTTGCCTAGGTGCTAACTCAAACCAAATACACATCTTTATTTATTTTGATACTATTTTGCTATTTGAAACTACAAATGTATATATAGTCACTTTTTTCAAAACAAGACTGCCCTGTTCCCCTTTATCAGTGGCTCTCAACCTTTTTTAGATTCGAGGCACCCCTTTTAGATTAAAAATATTTTTTGTTAGACTCAAGACACCCTCAGTAAATGCCAACTCTTAGTTTCACTCATTTTTTTGACTACAGACAAATAATAGAGCGACTCCGTCTATTACAAAGAACTCAGAAAAATCATAGCAGGTCAAAATGTTTTTACACCACATGTTCTTATGTGAAAACTGTAAGTTTATCTTGTGAATCATGTTTGCACACCTAACAGTCCTAATATTGTGTGCAACCTGGAGCATTCTTGAAAGGCAGTCCAGGCAGCATCTTGGTTGTGAATCACTGCCCTATATCTTAAGTCAGTAAAATATTGATAGCTTACATCAAAATATCACTACATGATAATAGTATTCACATCCAGATTTTCATACTGGCAACTGATAGTATACATTACCTCCATTTAGTTATCTATTTCCAGTTATTGTTTCAACAAATGCAGAGTAAACCTTGTGTTTCCCAAGTTTCAACACAGCAATGAGCAGGGATTGGGTGGTCAGCCCAGCTGGCTCTTTATTCTGTTGCTTTTCATTCCTGTACACATCTGTGTCTTATTAAAAGTTCAACATTACAACATACTAATATGTTGGTGTCTTTGGTTTTACTTCGCTGGGGCTCAGTCCAGCTTTTCTTTGCCAATTGTTCTGTTCCTTGCAAAACAATCTCTCTTTATGGCTGTGTTATGCTGTGAGGGAGCTGGTCCATGGAGACTGTTTAGGGAAGAAGCTGAATGACCTTTCCCATATTACACAAGCACAGTAATAATGGTTCCTAAGGTCTCTTCTATAAATGGAATTTTTTTGCACCTACCTCAAGTCATTATAACTATTTTAGTCACAATTCTAGGATTTCTATATGCTCTCAGTAAGAAAAAAGTTCCAGAGGGAAACTTCTCTTTCCTGTCATATATGTAAACACATTAATGTTTTAATTAAGGCAACAGTAATCATATTAGGAACATACAATTACCAATTACCAGTCAGAGTTCCTAACTGAATCTTCAGTGCTTGCCTAGTTTCTAATATCTCCTAGGCCGCACTGTGGGAGATAACACATCTGTGTGCTGGAATGTGTTCTATCAGGGGAGTAGATACTACGGTGAGTCAAGTGCATCAAGCTTTCACCTGAAGCAGTTCAGATTATTCTGATTTGACAGATTTCAATGGCAATACACAGGCAGAGGGAACATTACTCCTCCAACAGGCCCACTGAAATTAACATAAGTAAGGGCCATAAATCAAGTATGAAAACTGCCCTTTCCCACCTTAGACAATAAAGGGAGTCACATTATTTACATCACTGGGGAAAGATGTGCACCCAATACCAACACCACTATTACTAAAGATTAATTATTAGCTATTACAGTCATTATATCTATTATTGTTATTGTTTACATTTATTTAGTACTTGCATTACAGTAGGACCCATCAGCTCTGCTCTCTGCTTTGGAGAAGCAAAAGGCTGGACAAGCAGAGCTGTTGTATATCAATGGGCAGTCACATTGCTAAAGCTGGATGGGAACGTTTTCACCCTGTAAAGCTGCCTTATTCCACTGCTGGTACAAAGCAGATCTGCAGAGACCACACCACTCAGAGATCCTCTACCTAAGACCATCTTTGGATTGTGCAGAGCACCATGAGTGGCTTCTCTGGTACTTGTCCTTCTGGATTGTAGTGCAGAGGATTTGACTATTGTGAAAAGGCAGGAAGACATTTGAAATGATGGCCATCTAGTGTAGATTGCAATATTCCTTAGACATCCAACTCCTGGTGGCAAGGAGTCTGATGTCTTGGAAGGAAACCTGGTTAATGTTTGAATTAAAATCCTTCAATGTTAATCTCGTAGCAGAAAGGGAACTGTTACTTGCTAAGAGTGACTTAAGACAAATTAAGACTTTGATTTTCTCCCAGTGTTGTGCTTTGGTATGAAACTCAGTGTGGGAAGGGATTAAAATTTGACCTGTGTAAGGTCTAAATGCAAAAACAAACAAACTAAAAAAAACTCTGAGACTGAGCACATAGGTTTAATAACACTTTTTAAACTGAGGCACTTGTCTGAATAACATTCATTGCTCACTTTGGCTTGGTCCACTGTCTTGCAAATGGACTAAACCTTATTTAAACGCTGTGCATCCTGTTATGTCCTAGGTTTCTTGGAGTGGTTAATCAATATATTAAGGACCAAATTCTGCCCTCAGTTACGCCCAAGTAGCATTGTCATTAATGCAGCAGAAGTGATAGGGAGGGATCTAAAACCCACTGAAGTCAAAGATAGTCTTTTTAATTTACCTCAATAGACTTGGGATCTGGTTCAGGATCTGGCCCCAAGACCCAGTACTTACCTGAAAAAATCAGCAGCTTTATTGCCTATATCTAATTCAGGAGGGGGTCTCTGTAGTATGTCCCAGTATCCTATTTCAGCACAAACTAGATCTTGGGGGGAAAAAAATTGGTTTTATATATACCATACTAGGGTGTATTTTACTTAGAATGGTCCAATGCCCTGGTCAGGGATATCAAGGGGACCTATTACACATTTCTCCTCTGTAACTGGAAAGATGCCCACCATGCACATGGGGTTAGTGCATCAGTATTAAGGCCCTGATCCTCAAATATTCTGAATATGGACACTGCTGCCTGCATCTGCAGACAGATCTGCAGAGGTAATGGGGCTCAGCCTGAACACAGAAGTTTACCTGCCATGATTTTCCTGGCAGGAATGGAGTCTAGGATGTGTTTTAGTTTTAAGGGTTTGGTTCTAGTTAAAAATAGGATGAAACTCTCACTGATTTTAAAAGTAATCTTCATGTGAGCTTTGTCTCTGGTGTTGATCTTTAGAAAATTATGAAAATAAAGGAAATCAGAAATACAAGAAAAGGAAGAAATTCAGTGTAGCTTTTCTAACCCCCCCCCCCAATGTTCAGGGATACTGACTGGGAAGCAGTCGAGGAACATCAGCTGCAGAGACCCTGTTAAATACTTACAGTTTTGATTCTCAAGAAATTTAAGAATAATACATGTTTGTAAGTCTGACCATCCCAAGGCATTTACTGGAGATTCCTGACTACAGATGACTATTGCCATCACAAGGTGACTAATGATGACACAATCTAATTTCAACAACTGCTAAGAACTATTTTTCAGTGAAGGGATGGGCAATGTTTTGTAAAAGTGGGCATCCAGACTTGAAAAGCGTATTTTCCAATAGCCAAAGTCCAACTAACTGAATGTCTCATCCATGCCGGTAGAACATTAACAGAGGTTGTCATGGTAAAATGAAGGGCTGTGCAGAGCCTAATCTCATTTATGGGGTTCAGAAAGTTGAGATCACGGAAGTGAGAGCTTATAAATAACCAGAGTAGTGCATTACTGACAGACTGCAACATCTCTGAACGGAACATTCAACAGGCTGAATCCCTTCGGCGCAAAGCAGAGCTGGATTTTGTAAAAACAGCTAAGAAACTCCTGTTTAAAATACTAAGGAGGATCTGAGTGGGAGTTTTTTGTTCTCTATAGTTTATTCTACAAATTTATTGTGGAAGCATGTGCACTGGGGATTGTGCTAAGTGCCTAGGACTCACCCTCATCCCTCTGGCTGTGCTGTGTACCCTAGCTAATATTTTGCTTTTTTTCCCTGGAGGAAAAGTGGTTGAGAGTAATGACCATATAACAGATGAAGTCTGGTACTTTGGAGGGATCCTAGGATCAGGTGCATTGGTGAGTAAGCAAATCTACAAGGTGTCACTTCTATTTTGCTGAACTAAAATGTTGGGGTTTACTGTAATTCTCCTGTACTGCAAATAAAATACTGTTAGTGTTGCAAATTGCTCTTCGTTTTTCACTTGAATGAATAAATAGGCAAGTTTAAAAATCAAGTGTTAATTCAATAATAAATAATATAATCTGTGATAAGAAAATGGGACCCTGAAGTAATACAGTGATAAACAAAGGATAATTTGAAATAGTCCCACCTGATACAATTGTTTTTTCTATTGTTGATAGATGATCTTTCCCGCCTTGGTATTTTTGGGCCTTAAGAATAATGATTGCTGTGGATGCTGTGGTAATGAGAGCTGTGGAAAAAGGTTTGCGGTAAGTGAAATGGAAGGATATTGCAAAAAAAAAAAAGAGAGAAAAAGAAAAAGAAAGCCAAACGCCTACTAGTAATGACATTTATATCAGGTGTATCTATATACAGTTATGGCATTATAGGGTGTGAATATACGGGGCACATACAGTTTATTGCATGAGGCAGAAAATTCTGGAACTCCTTTATCATGAAAGATGATGAATTGATGTGCCAAGATTTTTTTTCCCCAAACTCCTCAATATTGTACCATGATCACTGTAACCTGTTGAACTACCAGAACTGTATCCCTGACGCAGCAGGCATATCTTCACAAGATGCTTTACTGAGCAGTAGACTACTCTACTGCTCAGTAAAGAGTCACTGTGTAATTGTGAGCAAGAGCTACTGTGCAGTAGAGTAGTCTACTGCGTGCTTTTCTACTACCTACTAAATACAGGTAGTAGATTTACTGCACAGTAGCTACTGCGCAGTAATGCACGGTTAGATACCTGACTAGGAGCAAAATGCTCCTTGTCAGATGGGCAGCAGGGGGCGGAAGAACAATTGCCTCGCCCCAGAGCTTCCTGCTGCCAGGGTGGGCTCCAATCGCAGAGCTTGGGTGGGGACAATGTCCCCTTGCCCCTGAAGTAGTTGGCTCCCAGCCCCAGCTCCATGATCACAGGCTGGAGCAGAGGGACACTGTCCCAGCTTGGGCTCCAAGATGGGAGCTCACCCCAACAGCAGGCAACTGCCAGGGGCAGTGAGCAATCGCGCACCCCCAGCTGCGATCACAGAGCCAGGGCCAGGAGCTGCCTGCTGCTGAGGCAAAGGAAGGCTCAGGGAGCCGCAGCTGGCTCCCCGTACTGACCTTTCTTATTGCTTCTGAGCACCTCCCCAAAAAGCTGGATCATCAGGGGTCAACAGAGGATCAGGCGTAGTGGTTCCTGGCTGCACCATGACCCCTCTTGTTTCACAAATGCCTCTTCTTCCAGCTTACACTGCCGAGTAGGCAACTAACCGAAGAAAATGGCATGACTTCTGCTGTCAACCCTATGCTAGCGTAGAATTACTTTATCCTAGGACAATAACCCTAGCAGAATGGAGAATTTTTTCTGGAACAATATGTTTTTCATATACAGTAAACTGAAATGGGCTAGATTCTGCTCTCAGTAGCATGGTGTAAATCCAGAATTACACACTAAAGTAAGAGTTACTCCAGATTTACAGTAATGTAACTAAACCTGGATCCTAGATCCTTTGCAGTTATAGTATTTGTAATGAACATTGGTTGTATTCTCTCATGTTCTCAGCCTGTCTCAGGAGCCATTGGCATAGTTCTCTATTGATTTACCATGCTGGGGACTTTGCACATGTGTGGAGAGCCCCACTAGTGGATCCCTGCACAGGCTCAAAATTAATATTGAACTAGACTCCTAGTTTTAATAAAAGCTGTGGTTCTCAACCTTCTCAGACTCAAGGCACTTGGGAAATGCTAGTTTTAGTTTCCTTTTGCTTTACTACAGAAAAACAACACAGCAATTTTTCTGTTGCAAAGAACCCAGAGGGCATTTTTATATGGGCTCTGGAAGTGGGGGTGGCAGATGTTTTAATTAGAGCAGCTCCGAGATCCACCTTAATTAAAGCACCTGCAGCATCTCATATATCAGCGTCCCCGCAGATCAAAATGGTGGCAGGAGCTCATTAACTAAAGCTCATCAAACGAGCTTTAGTTAAAATGTCCCCCCACCATTTTAAAGCATGGGGTTGTTGATACACAAAAAGCAACGGCTATTGGAGCATGCTAATGATCATGCTCTAGCAGACTCAATTTCATAGATTTCATAGACATTTGGGCTGGAGGAACCCCAGAGGATAATCAAGTCCAGCCCCCTGCACCAGGGGTAGGAAGTCAGCAGGGATCACAGGATCCCAGCAAGATAAACATCCAAATGTGTTTTGAAGGCGTTCAAAGTGGGCGCTTGAACCACCTCTGGTGGCAGTCTGTTCCAAACCTTGGGAGCTCAGACAGTGAAGTTCTTTCTTATGTCCAGCCTGAACCGGTCACAGTGGAGTTTTTGACCGTTCCATCCTGTCATCCCTTGGGGCACTCTGGTGAACAGTCATTCCCCCAGATCCTGATGAGCACCCCTGATAAACTTATTGGTGGCCACCAGATCACCCCTGAGCCTGCGCTTTTCCAGGCTGAATAGCCCCATTGCTCTCAGCCTTTCTTCATAAGGTCTGTTTTCCTGACCTCTGATCATGCGCGTGGCTCTCCTCTGCACCCTCTCAAGCTTCTCTACATCCTTTTTGAATTGTGGAGCCCAAAACTGGACGCAGTACTCCAGCTGCGACTTCACCAAGGCCAAGTGCAGCGGGAGAATGACGTCCCGGGATTTGCTTGCGACGCACCTATGGATGCAAGCCAACGTTTTGCTTGCTTTACTAAGCCACAGCGTCACACTGAAGGCTCATGTTCATCTTGTGGTCAACCATGACCCCAACGTCCCTTTCATCTGTAGTGCTAACCAGCGTAGCACTACCGAGCCTATAAGCATGGTGCAGGTTTTTCCTCCCAAGGTGGAGAACCTTGCATTTTTTGGTGTTGAACACCATCAGGTTCTCGTCCTCCCATTTCATGAGTCTGTCCAGATCTGCCTGGATCGCTCTCCTGTACTCAGGTGCGGACGCTTTACCCCAGAGTTTGGTGTCGTCGGCAAACTTGGCCAGTCTGCTTCTGACACCAATGTCCACATCACTGATGAAGATGTTAAACAATATAGGCCCTAGGAACAGAGCCTTGAGGGACCCCACTGGTGACTGCACACCAAGACGATTGGCTCCTGATGACCACCACCCTCTGGGTCCTACTGCGGAGCCAGTTACCCAGCCAGCGGATCATGGTGACGTCAAGGCCACAGTTAGCCAGTTTAGCCAAGAGGTGATCGTGGGATACCAGATCGAAGGCTTTTTTAAAGTCAAGATATACATCAATCTCTTTCCCCTTGTCCAGGTGATAAGTCACCTGGTCATAAAAGGAAATGAGATTGATCAAGCAATTAATCAAGTCTTCTCTAACATGCTGTAATTACAGTGCATTGGAGCAGCATCTATAGGAGCCCAAAAAGACCACAACAAATGAGGGTGTTTTTAACACTATGAGTTGTTATTTGAAAAGTCTGGGTTTATGTTGTGAGTCTTGTTGCACATATCACAGTGCTAACATTGCGTGGCACCCCATGGTATGCTTGAATGGATCTCAAAGAACCCCAGGGTGCCATGACACCCTGGTTGAAAATCACTGAAGTAATGATAAGCACAAATATATTTGAAATGCTCCAAACCCTCCTCAGGTTCAGAGTGTTTCAGGACTATGCAGATATGCAGGCCTCACACTTAGGCCACAAACCCTGAGAGAGTATCTGCAAAAGCCTGCAGCCACAGTTCCCTCCAGCAAGGGCGGTGGAGTGAAGGAAACTTCATGCCTCTTAGCCTCTGGTCTCCAAAGATTCCTAAGGACAGTTCAGCACACAGGAGGGCATTCATTGGCTGTCTACTTCCCCTCCTGTGGTGGGGGTGAGGAGTGGAGCATTGTGGAAAGCTAAAAGACCAAAAGTAACCTACCATGCTCCTCTGCAAGGTGAAGTACTGAAACACATAGAAAAGATTATGAAAGAGGCCATTCTTAACAGACTGGCTGATGGCAGCATCCTGAGGGATAGTCAGTATGGGTTTGTTGAAGGTAGGTTTTGCTTGACCAATCTTATCTCCTTGCATAACCAGGTGATCTATCACCTGGACAAGGGAGAAGTGATTGATGTCGTATATCTTGACTTTAAAAAAGCCTTTGATCTGGTATCCCATGATCACCTCTTGAAAAAACTGGCCAACTGCAGCCTTGGCTTCACCACGATCCACTGGCTGGGGAATTGGCTCCGTGGTTGGACCCAGAGGGTGGTGCGGTCAACAGAAGTCAATCGTCATGGTGCCCTATGACTAGTGGGGTCCCTCAAGGCTCTGTCCTCGGGCCAACACTATTCAACATCTTCATTAATGATGTGGACATTGGTGTCAGAAGCGGAGCGGCCAAGTTTGCCGACGATACCAAACTCTGGGGTAAAGCGTCCACACTTGAGGATAGGAGGGTGAGCCAGGCTGACCTTGACAGGCTCAGGAAATGGGCAGATGAGAACCTGATAGTGTTTAACACTGAAAAATGCAAGGTTCTCCACCTTGAGAGGAAAACCTGCAGCATGCTTATAGGCTTGGCAGTGCTACGCTGGCTAGCACTATGGAGGAAAAGGACTTGGGGGTCATGATTGACCACAAGATGAACATGAGCCTTCAATGTGATGCAGCTGCTAGTAAAGCGAGCAAAATGCTGGTTTGCATCCATAGGTGCTTCTCAAGCAAATCCCAGGACATCATACTCCCGTTGTACTCAGCTTTGGTGAGGCTGCAGCTGGAGTACTGCATCCAGTTTTGGGGTCTGCAATTCAAAAAGGAGGTGGAGACGCTTGAGAGAGTGCAGAGGAGAGCCACAAGCATAATCAGAGGTCAGGAAAACAGACCTTATGATGAGAGGCTGAGAGCCATGGGACTCTTCAGCCTGGAAAAGCACAGGCTCAGGGATGATCTGGTGGCTGCCTATAAGTTTATCGGGGTGCTCACAAGGATCTGGGGGAACATCTGTTCACCAGAGCGCCCCAAGGGATGACAAGGTCAAACAGTCACAAACTCCTTCAGTATCATTTCGGGCTGGACATAAAGAAGAACTTCTTTACAGTCCAAGCCCCGAAGGTCTGGAATAGACTGCTGCCGGAGGTGGTTCAAGCACCTACTTTGAACACCTTCAAGAGACATTTGGATGCTTATCTTGCTGGGATCCTGTGATCCCTGCTGACTTCCTGCCCCTGGGGCAGGAGGCTGGACTCGATGATCTTCCGAGGTCCCTTCCAGCCCTAATGTCTATGAATCTATGAAAAAATAGGTTCCTCTTTTTTTTGAGAGTCATTTTAAAGTG